CTGATCAGTATTAACGGAGGAGACACTTTTACCAGAACCCAGACTTTGCCCAACACAGAAAAGGTGAGTTTTCTCTCTCTGTGCCCTTTACAGAGTGTAGGTCTTTATGACTCCTTATATGTGCTAAATTAAATTTAAACCAGTCTTTTCAGGTTTAATTTCTTTCTGCAAAAACATATTCCTTCCAAAGGGGAAATTGGATCAAATTAAATGAAGGTTTATGCTTTTATTGTGGAAGATGTTGGTTTGCTTCCTCTAATTTGCAGCAAAATTTTTCTTTTTCACAACACTGTCATGTTTCCACCATGACTACGTTACTGGTCTAAGTACACCTAGATGTTGACGGTGCTGTCTGTTTTGCATTTTTATCGTTAGACACATTGTGGACGGTATCCAAATTGAAATTATTATCATGTCTAAGTTGAAACACTTGGGGTCGCTGATGACCACACGTTTTCTGAACTCGGTATTTTCGGTCTCCTCCCTCCGTGATGCGCAGCAGATGACTGCGTGCTTTGTGTGAGGGAAGCGAATGGCAAAAGAAACCGGAGGACTGGAATTGTTGCTAATGTCAACATAGACCGATCGAGTTGGCTTTTATGGCTGAGAATCGCTTGGATAGGCTAAACATTTTTTATAACCGCGATGGAGAGCAGAAGGAATGATGGGATGTTCTTTTTGCTTCTCATTTTTGTTTTATCCGACTGGTCTGCCGCTCAGATAACATACTCTGTAACTGAGGAGGTGGACAAAGGAACGGTCATTGGGAACCTCGCAAAGGATTTTAATGTCAACGCTCGGGACCTGCAAACAAGGAATCTAAATATTGTGTCGGGATACAGTAAGAAATATATCGAGGCTAATTTGAGAACGGGAGATCTGTATGTTAATGACAGGATAGATCGGGAGGAGCTTTGTCCTAACACGGTAAAATGCACGTTAAACTTCGAGGCCATACTCAGTAACCCGGTGTTGCTCCGCCGTATTGAGGTGGTGATTGCTGATATAAATGACAACGCACCGACTTTCTTTGAGCAGCTATTTACCCTTAATATCTCTGAATCTTCTCCAACTGGAGAGCGTTTTTTGCTTCCTCTAGCTGTCGATGCAGATGTAGGCATTAATTCGGTAAAGACTTACAAGCTCAGCTCCAGTGAATATTTCTCTCTAGATGTGCAAAGTGGTGGAGAACATAGTGCATCTGCTGAATTAGTGTTGCTGAAAGCTTTGGATCGAGAAAAACACGCTGATGTTAAACTAACACTGAACGCTGTGGATGGAGGGAAACCTCCTAACACTGGATCGGTGGAGATCTATATCACTGTCCTGGACGTTAACGATAACACCCCATCTTTTAGCAAAAGCCTGTATAAGGCACGTGTGAGAGAAAATGCTCCGGCTGGATCGTTAGTCATTCAGCTTAATGCCACAGATTTAGACGAAGGGGACAATTGCAGAGTGATTTATTCGTTTGTCAAACGAGCCAACTTCAACCCTGCTGACGTCTTTTTTCTAAATGCAGAAACTGGTGAAATCACTGTTAAAGGGAATTTAGATTACGAAACTCAGCCTGCCTACGAAATTCATATTCAAGCGACAGACAAAGGTGTGTCACCTCGGAGAGCAAACGGAAAGCTTCTGGTGGAGGTTGTCGACGTAAATGACAATGCTCCAGAAATTGTAGCGACGTCCATCATGAACAACGTCAGAGAAGATGCTGATATAGGAAGTGTTGTTGCTTTAGTAACCGTCACTGACAGAGACGGAGGGAAAAATGGCCAGACTCGTTGTTCACTTCTTGGCTCTACACCTTTCAAGCTGATTTCGAATTATAAGAATTATTATTCGTTAGTTGTAGATGGCCCTCTGGATCGAGAGGTACGCTCCGTTTACAATGTCACAATAACTGCAAACGACGAAGGAACACCGTCTCTTTCTAGCATAGGTGTCATTAAAGTACACGTCTCTGATGTAAATGATAACAAGCCTAATTTCCTTGAACCCGTAGTTAATATCTACGTAAGGGAAAACAGTCCATTTGGAGCTAGTATCTATACTATTACTGCCGTCGATCCTGATTTAAATGAAAATGGCAAGGTTACGTATTCTTTACAAAGTGGCTCAAAAGAAATTCCCTTCAACTCATTTGTAAATATCAACCAAGACACTGGAGATATAGTCAGCCTACAGTCGTTTAACTATGAGGAGTTAAAAACCTTCCAGTTCAAAGTTCA